ACTCAAAGTTGAAGTATCGGTATCGGAAATCAAAAAGAGGTATCGGTCCATCCCTAGTACAAATCCATCTTGAATCCACAGACGGATCACTTGACTTGAAATTGAAGTCAAATGACGCTCCGATATGTGCAGTCAGAGGCCCCAAACACAAAGCCCTCTCTATGTGTTACCTCGGTGCATGTGAGTTTGTGTGCGTGGCGGCGGCGGCGGCGGCGGCGGCGGCGGCGGATCCATCTGAAGCGAGCCGATGCTTTATTTCCCCAGGCTCCCTCTGCTCGGCTCAACACACGGGGAGCTAATCGATACTGATGCATGTGCTCCTCCAGCTTTCAGCGGGGAGGGTCAGGACTCTGCGTCTCTGCCCTTGAAAATAATCACATCCTGTTGTGGTCGTGCACCGCAAACATGGCTGTTACACACACACACACACACACATATATATTTTTGCATTAAACGCGACGGTAACCTCAGGCAACGTTTTTCATTTGAAGGCACTTGGCTTAATGTGACTCGGAACAGGAGCAGCAGGAGACTGGGCTTTGATCGCTGGATTAGAAACCATTAGTGAAGCCTGCAAGAGTCAGAGCCACAGGGAAGGAGAGGAAAATATTTCTTTAACCCAAGAGGGATTCTCTTACGCTTTCAGTCAGGGCCGGCTGAAAAGGTTCAGGAAGATGCTTGGATGTGAATTTCTTTACATAGCAGCCGACAAAGGCGGCGAGTGCAGGAAGGTCAGTGTGACACGGTGCAGCCTGACGAGTCGAGGTCGGGCGGAGCATCGACTGGTGGCTCCGGGGAGGAGAGAGCTGATGATGGGATTTCACAGATGGAACCGCTGCTGAAGACGAGCTGTGGAGGAGCTGCTCATGTGACGTCCAGTGATTAAAACACAACACTGGGTGTGTCCAAGAGGACTTGTAGTATTTATGCATGTAGGTGTCATATCCCAAATTCAAGCCCAGTTTGAGGAACCTTGATGGTGCTCGCTCGAAGCAAAAACCAGATTGCATGTGTGTACTTTATACCAGCTTCTGTCTGCTGCCAGCTGTGTGCAGCAGACAGAAATATTCCCCAGTTTATACAACACTGTGACCACTATCGCTGCACCCATCCATCCATCATCTCTTCACCTTAATCCTCACGAGGGTCATGGGGGGCGGAGCCTATCCCAGCTGACTCAGGGTGAAGGCAGGTTCACCTGGACAGGTAAGCAGTCTATCACAGGGCTACACTTAGAGACAGACAACCAAGCACACTCACATTCACACCTACGGACAATTTACAATCACCAATTAACCTCAGCATGTTTCTGGACTGTGGGAGGAAGCCGGAGAACCCGGAGAGAACCCACGCTGCACGGGGAGAACATGGAGACTCCACGCAGGAAGATCCCGGGTTTCCTCACCGGGACGCCGACCGGCGACCTTCTAGCTGTGAGGCGACGATGCTAACCACCACTCCACCTTGCAGCCCCTTATAGCTGCACGATAATGGAGAAAAAAAAGGGACGATATTTAGTTTTTGCTTAATATATATTGTGATACTAAAACGTAGCTGAGTACAGAGATCATGGATGTGCTGCATCAGCTCTCATCACGGCCCTCAACCGCCAACACTGAGATGTTCTCACTTGTTTGATCGTTCAGGAAAAACGCAAACAGCGACCTTTTATATGGAAGTCCTCGTTAATAAAGCCGACGGTCAGACTAATGCTGGGCTCCGTCATCCAGCTGGACCACGAGCCTGCTGTAGCTGCTTAATATTCCATCCGTGACAGCTCCGTTTTAACTGCTGCCTTGCATTTTTTCTCAGACAGCTCTGAGAAAACAAGGTGCTGTTTAGAACTTTTCAAGTGTCGTCGTATTAATTGGACTCATGTCTTTGACGAGGTGAGATGTTACGGCTTTGGTGATGTCTCCCTGCTTTTCCTAGCTTTTCTTAAATCATGTAACACTGGAAAAAACCAAACATCCAAAATGGCGTTTTGCTTTGGATAACACTCGGATCTCATGCACAGCTTTGTGGAAACAGCAAGTACCTGTTTTTGGTCAACATCATACCTTCTGTTGCCAAAACATCTCAATATATCTGATGCTGCATTTTTAGTTTATTTTTTTTGCAACCAGATCTTCCATCAGGTGTTTGTCTCCTGTTGATGGCTCACTTCACTGTGCATGTGGAGCTGCACTGTTCTTGATAATAGCCTGTAGTATGTGGTAACGTACCTTGTGGGCGAGCAGACACAATGATTAGCGTCAGACACGTCATCTATCCAACATTGTTTATTCAGAGGTTGCTTTTTCTTTTAGCTTGACAGGTAAAGAGATGAGACTTGAAATACAGTTGAAATGCTTCACTTTTCATCCTCTCAACAACAATTAGAAACACGTCGACTGGCACAGCACTGGAACTCAGAGACGTCTCGCCGGGGGTCTGCGGGAGGTGTGGACAGGTTTTAAAACCAGGGACAAATTAATCCAGCATTCAGGGCTGAACGCTGGTGGAAGCTGAACCTGCGACTGTTGCTGGCAGAGCCTCTCATCTGCAGCTAATGAATGTTTATTCTGTGAGTTGGTGTGCAGCTGATACAGGATGTTCTCTGAGTGCTGGTCTCTGGGGCTGGAGGATACACACCGCTCTGTGGGACACACTTCTACGTAAACGCTCCGGTACTCGTGGAGCGTGAATGACAGACGGCTGGTAAACAGAGTTGTTGGAATCTCACACTTTAACCTATTTTAAGCACATCGTAGCATCGTTTCAGGCTCTGAAGGCTCTGATCTGGACCTGCAGCGCTAACTTTGTTCGCTGCATCTTTCTGATCCACTCCTGCGGTTGCAAACCCTCATCGAGGCAGCAAACAGAGCTGCAAAGATTAGTGAGTTAAACAAGTGAAAAAGGTTCATCTGCAGCAATTGTGGTAATCAGTTAAGTTTTCAAACTATGTTTTATACATTTTTATATATTTTCTAATAATAATTTTGCTGCTTTAGTGGATTTAATGTTCCTCTGACAGGCTGCAGATCACCGTGTGCTGATGTTATACAGACCAAACATTTCTTTTACTTACAAGTTCAAGTGTCTCCGTTATTAGAAATGAAATGTTTTAACTAGAACTAATTTAACTTAACATTACTGCAGATCACTTTCTTTTTCAGGCTGTAATATTCCTGCTGAACGTTGAGGAACTTTAATCAGCTGCTTCTGTTCTTTTCTGCGATGCTCCTACTCCTGTAACCTCCTCTGTCGTCCACATGTAATTTAAAATGGGTATTTTTCCTCCTTTTGTTTTCATTCTGTCCTTATGAAAATGGAAGAGCGTGTCGCACCGACAGGCAAGTTGGCAAATCGAAGCTATTTCCAGTTCTGGTAGCAACGAGGAAGAAGGACTCATTCGTGGTGACTGATTCAGACGTTTCCGTAACTACACACTCGTGTGTAAACATAGAAACAAAACATCCTGTTAGCAAAGTTAGCACCTGCACTAGTCTGGCCACACTCACCGCTGAACTAGATCGCTTCGTGTGAACAACAGAGATAACCGTAAACACAAGCTGAGTTTTCTCCGTCCACACGCCAACACTCTGACTGACTGTCTTCATCCTGGAAGGAGTTTTTCTAAATGTCTTTGTGCGGTGACGTACGTCTGTTTGCATGTGGAGAGAAGGCTGGAACACCTACATGTGGACAAAGGTTCCGTCGCTACGGGTTCTTCCCTCTTCAGCTCACACTGACATCAAACGCATCGCTATCTCTGCAGGAGTGTCACCACAGAAACCAGATTTAAAACTCTGTGAAACACACACATATCTGCCTGCTGCTGACGGGATTAACCGGTCAGGTGTGAACGTAACATGTGACATTCATGTTCAGGTAGAAGTCCTGCACTCCAGCTTTAAATAACAGAACTGATAAATGGAAAACAAATCCGGGCATCACTGAAGCAACATGTGGGACAAACCACGCTAAAACCAGACGTCCTTCCTCATTGTGCCACCAGGAATGGTTGTGAAGCCGTTTGACTCTGAAGTCCTTCCCAACAATCTGCTCAGACCTGAGTTTAAATTCTGACAAAGGTTATCAAAGGGTTGCTACTCGTCGACAGGAACCACGAGCCGTTTGAAGCGTTGGTAATCCTGCACAGTGGTTCCTTGGACAACATCTCAGAATGATTTAGGATAGAACAGCGACTAACCGTGGGACAGGGAGACACCTTTATACAGAACAGCACAAACTGCATGATTACACTGAAACCATCGTCTTTGTTTTTGTGCATGACCTCCCATTCAAAGTCCAGATCTCATCCTGTGAGATGTGTTCAGTTGCTCTGCCCAGCAGCCGATTTCAGTGGAATTAGTTTGGATCTAAAATCTTAAAATCCTGCACTTTGAATGTGTAGCGGACGTCTAAAACTAACCATGAATGCAGACGTTTTGGTCAAATACATTTTGTTTAACAGTCCAAAGTTGATTTTGGCAAAACTCGTGTAGCGCCTTGAAATGGAAGGACCACGCCCCAAAAATAAAGGCGTACATGTTCCCAAACCAAACGGTAAAACATGAACACGTGTCCAAACTGTTGCTGAGCGAGTCATGGGTCCCTTCATGCAGCTGCTGGTTGTGAATTTTGAGACTTTGTTGTTTGCACCAAACAAACAGTTGAATACATTCTGTCATCAGTCCTTCTGTCTCTCCAAACCTCTTTATCGGACGTCCACAGACTAATAAAACTTCTCCACATATATCTTTTATAAAATAAATCTTATATTTCCCAGTATACAATAATAAAATGATGCACTCTGCAGAAAAAAGGTAACAGGAAACTCCATATATACACATAGCATACTATTTTGGCAGACGAGAACATGGACTAGTTCAGTATTGTAAACAGCTCTGTACTCTCTTTCATGACTTTGTTTTCTTCCATTTCCGTCTCGTTCCCGCTCCTCCTCTGTCCTGTTACATTCATAGCTCCAGAAAATTGTGCTTTAAGAAATCTCCTGCAACAATCCAAGGCCTTGTTTTCTCTGTCAGCTTGGTGACACCTGGTCCGCTGAGCAGAAGTGCACCGTCTCCAACAGTAGGTCGACGTCTCAACAGTCTCGTAGCTGGTAGTTCGCTCGGCTCTCCTGGCTCACCCGGGAGATGTGGGACGAGGGTCAGAAGAGGGACAGCAGGGCAACGCACTCCTGCACCGGGGCGGGAGATGGAGGGGTCTGTGATCGGGGACGCTGAGGCTCGGCAGCAGTAGACGTGGAGCAAATGGTTGGTTTTCCAACCTTGTTTTGACGTGGAAGAACCGTGGGCTGAGACCGCTCTGTGAACTGAGCTCGGGGCACGACTCGTGCCTGGAATAGTGGTGGCGTGTTATCGATGATTACAAGGCAGAACCTCTTGAGAGGTTACAGCTGTGCTCGGGATGCAGGAATGTACACGGTGGAATGTGGGAAAACACTGGTGTGTGTGGAGCGATGACGCCTGCGTGAAGACACAGAGTGGTGAAGGACAGACGGACAGGCGGAGAGCTTTGGGTTTGAGCTCAGGAGGCAGGAACAGTCGAGGTCTGGGTGCCAGCGGAGCACCAGGACTGTGGGTCTTCAGTTGTCCTCGTCGGTGAGCTCGTCCTCCCCGGTGGCCTTCTCGGGGATGGCCTCCAGGCTGCGTCTGCTCTTGGACTCTGAGGAGCCGGAGGAACCGCCCACCGCGCCGCCTTTACTCAGGTTACAGGTGAGGGCAGCGTAGTGGATCTGCTTCAGGTTCTCCTGGACTTCACTCCTGGCATGCTTCAGCAGGTCGGCCTGGCCCTGAGGGGTAGAGCAGCGACAGCAGCAAGGCGTTGAGACGTCGAAGCAAACAACAAGGAACGTAGATAAACCATTTCATACCTTTTAATTCACATTTACACGAGTCTTTAGAACTTCTTCAGGTTTTCTCCATTTACAAAAAGCACCATGTTTTTGAAAACTGCTAAAAGAAAATTAGAATCTGCCACAAACATTTTATTTCCCAGGACCACCGTTCTGACTTCTGGCACCAGAGACGTCTGTAGATACTCTATTGGTCGACTAAGCCGTGCAGACAAACATAAGAAACTCTCAATAAACGGCACGAGAAGAACAAAAGTCACAACTAATTAAATTAGGCTCATTTCCATTATCTGCTTTGGAACAAATGAACTCGGCTGCATAGTGTCGTCAGAAGGTGGCGCTACAGGCGACTGTACACAGGCCTGGAATACACAGAGGAGAAACAAAACCTCTTAATGTCTTTTAGCAGTTAGCAAACAGAGCTGTGACCATCACTGAAGGAAAAACGTAGAAAGGTGTTCAGGAACTGTTTTCTATCAGGACGGTTGTTTTTAATGTCAGCTGCTATCGGTCCTGTTTCACAGACAAAGAAGCTTAAATAAACTGATCCGTTAAACATTCCCTTCGTCATCTGTGACTCAGAAAAGGTGTTTCTACGTCTTAATCAAAACTACTGGAAGCAGGTGTAATAAACTCTCCAAGCTGATTTGGGATTTCCATTAACTTACTGACAACTACGGTGGCTGAAGCAGCGCGGCTCATGTTTGAGCTAATAAATGCTCACCAGCAGCTACTCGCTCTGAAAACACGGAGAAAGCATCAGCAGTGATTGAGTCGGTAAACGGATTGGTAGAAACAGCTCGTGGCCACATTGGCAGAATTACAGCTCCTGCGTTTGCATTAAGCCAGATGCAGTGATTACATTTAGTCTCACAGAAGCATTACCTTTGTGCAAATCAATACGCTGTGAACACGGCGCGCTGCTGCCATACTGACCAGATGCTGTGGTCTGCTGGGATGTGCAGTCAGATTTTTGGGGAGGTCCATGTCAGCCTACTAATCAAGCTTTAGAGACGTGGTAGAAGCTCTGAGTAGAGCCACTGCTGCTCACATCAAAGAGCAAGTTGCTAGACACCTTTATATATATATATGTATACCAAATATAAAGGTTAAGACTCTGTTTTTTCTAATATAAAATGATATTAAACTGTTCCTCGTCTACCATCCTGCCTCTGTGACTCCGTTTAGGAGGCAGGGGGTGGATGGATGGATGGATGGATGGATGGATGGACACTAAACATGAAGCATCTGAGCAGGACTTAATGAGACTCTCAGCACCTTGTCATTTCTGCATACGCACCACCGAACATTAGAAAATGAGACAATTTATTCGGGGAGCACCCCGCACCGCAACAAAGGCAATTAAGACTGAAGGCGAAATCCCTTTTAATAAGCACCACTCATGTGTCCATGATATCACGTCTCAGCAGTTCTGGTTCTCTTCAGTTTCCGTCCACGACATTGTAAATAAATAAAAGCTGTGGTTTTCAGGGCTCTGACTGACTTCATATTTTCATTTACTTTGTCATCACATCATAGTATTCATGACTCTTGCATGCTGGTGGTTAGTTGTCCAGCTTTGATGTCATGACTGAGTGATCCAGATACTTGTGGGTCTTTGTTTTATTGTCATTGTGCAACTACAGAGTCTAAATCTTAGCTCCCTCTGTTGTAATGGGAGCTCCTCTGCTCTGTGTGTTGGTAGCTGCTCTCGTCATGCATGCATGTTAGTGCATGACAGCTCCTCCCTTTATATATAGAATTTATGGCTTCTACCAAATTTAAATGCACTCGTTTCATTTCTGCTCGGTGTGTGTGTCCCTGCTGATATGTTCTTTAGCCACTGTGTGACAGACACACGAGGAGAGACAGCTGGAGTGGAGATAACATGACTGGAGTTGACAACAAGTCACTGTGGCTGTTCAGGTGCTCTACGGTGCTAACGTGGCTGCAGTACTCTACGTACAGCCTTTCTGGTTGTAAACGAACGTGAAGGGAGGAAAATGTTTGACTGACATGTCTGTTTGTTGAAGGTGGTACACGGCACCCTGAAGCTTGGCTGACCTGGTTACGAGTTTCAGGTAGTTGGGCACATTTTTCTTGTGGACGTGTGAATACATAGACTTTGGATTCTTTGGACTACAGGGTGAACCAAACACTCAGGACTCATACATGTACTATTACAACCCTGTTTATGGTGCCTGAGGTATGTTCACGACTCTCTTACAGGTTAATGTTGTTGGTGGTGGGTTTGCTGACACACTGATCATACGTCTGCAGCCTAACCTTGTGTCGTCCAGCTGTTGTTCCTGCTACTAGCTGCTATCTCGGAGTGGAATTTCACATCTTATTAATATGCACAAAACGCAGTGATGAGCGTCTCCACATAAAATCCACAAACAGCAGAGAAGCAACAAGTTGTGGCAACGAGTTTGTAAAAGAAGCTCGTTTCACGGTATTGTTTCCTACAAACAGCCAATAAAAAATCTAATTTGTGTTTAATGCAAATTACCTTTAATGAGTTATTAAGCATTACATCAAAGTTTTTCACATATACAACATTAAAACTTCCATCCATCCATCATCTATCTTAATCCTCAGTAGGGTCGCTGAAGTCTATCCCAGCTGACTCAGGGTGAAGGCAGGTTCACCTGGACAGGTAACCAGTCTATCACAGGGCTACACTTAGAGACAGACAACCAAGCACACTCACATTCACACCTATGGACAATTTACAATCACCAATTAACCTCAGCATGTTTCTGGACTGTGGGAGGAAGCCGGAGAACCCGGAGAGAACCCACGCTGCACGGGGAGAACATGGAGACTCCACGCAGGAAGATCCCGGGTGTCCTCACCGGGACGCCAACCGGCGACCTTCTAGCTGTGAGGCCACGGTGCTAACCACCAAGACACCCCATTAAAACTTCATCCTTGTTTTGTTTGTTTTAGAATCAGGAGGATTTTAATTTGTGAATAGGTTTTATTAACAAATAGAATCACTACAGTTGTTGTGGTTTACTTCAGTTACTGAACGTTACCTCACTGGTCAGGTCCAGTTTCAGCCATAACCAGGAAATCCACTCTTGTCTTCAGATACAGTGAGTTCATTTCAGGACAAACTTTCCCAGTTTGTCAAACTGAGTCTGAAACGGATGCGTGTCTGTTTGCAGGAGGCGACATTACACCCAGCTGCACTCTTTCCTTCCTCTTGGGCTGCACCTCATGTGTTTACCACAGCTTTCAGTTCAACCTCTAACGCCAGCTGATAATAACTGATGAATGACCTTCCCCGTACTTATTTATGGTGTTTGCATGAGCTAATTAAGATTAGCTCACAAGCCGTTCGCCAATAATTTATAGTTGGTTCACTGTGTGCTGTACTTTCTGTTTCACCTGAGGCTCCACTTAATATGAATCCTATTGCTGGCAGTTTTTCCTAAATGGCAGTCGTCCAAAAAGGCTTTAAAGTTGGGGAAAAGGTTTCCAAAAGTCTTTTTATGCAGAGAATATATTGGAGCTGTTTGTTATTCAGACTTCAATAAAGGATCCGTGTGGCATTATGCACATAGGACCAAATGCAATCACATGAACAACATTTTCACGCGGTGGTTAATCGGATGATGTCTGTCAGGCCTTCTGTTTCTGTAATGGTCATGGCTAAGTAAAGCAAAGAATCGAAATAACTGAATGTTTTACACCTACAGCTAAGAATTTTCCACATATGAAACCTCTTTTCTTCAAGTTTAAAGCTTTGTTGCAGCCGTTAAAGAGAAAAAAACTGCCAGCAGTAAGATTGATATTTAGTAGAGCCTCAGATGAAACAGGAAATGCAGCCCAGTGAACCGAACATCAACTGTAGCTGAGCCGCTGGTGAGGAAAACTTAATTAGCTCATGCAAACACCACAAATAAGTATGTGTGAGGTCATTCATCAGCCATCAGCTGGCATTAGAGGTTGAAATGAAAGTTGTGGTAAACGCATGTGGTGCGAGCCGAGGAGGAGGAAAAAGTGCAGCGAGGTGTAATATTGACTCCTGCGTACAGACAAACACCCGCTTCAAACTCAGTTTGACAACCTCTGAAAGTGTCTCTGAAATTCAATTCCCTCCAGTAGCGGTATGGATCTCCTGGTTCTGACTGAAGCCACAGCTGAGCAATGAGGTAGCTGCTGACTGAGATCACACTGTGACGGTGGTACACTTATAATCATGATGATTATCAAAAACAAACCAGGTGGGAAACTTTTCCTGAACCGTGGAATTCATTAAAGGCGCACTTGCATCAAAAACAAATTCATTTATTTTATATATTGGCTGATGTTGTGAAATGGATTCAACCTTGTGGATTGTTTTTTTTAACCAAGATGTTGCCTCAACGTCATGCTTAGATGCTGTTTAGACATTTTCTGCACACAGAGAAGAGCACTGATAGACTGCATTTCTAAAAGTAAACGCCACATATTGATGGAGATGTGACTGTTACTGTCAGAAGTCTCTCCTCACAGTCCCAGAACGAAAAAGTCTGGAGCACAATAGTTCTAATGAAGTGTTTTTAAACGAGATGCTGTTCTCTGTGTTGACAAAATGATTATGCAGTTCTATATATATTATATGTGCTGCTGGCTTTAATGATTACTTTCATATGTACGTCGAACTCCTTTTAGTAGTTTATATAGTTGGGCTAACATGTCAGCACGACTCCTTTCTTACTGACGGCACCATATTTACAGCTGAGTGCATCAACAACAACAGTATCATCCTGCACAGCTTCATCGTGTCATTACTGGTGACCGCTGACCAAAAATCCAATCTCCTTTAACCAGATGGCGGGCAGGATGTTTCTCTGTCATCACTCCTTTTAAATGTCAATAAGGCTGCCGTCGTTAACCTGTGTTTTTGTGTGTGGTCATCACCAAGCAATGATTTTACCTGAAGCGCTGCAGCCTGGTGATTAACGCTGATCAGCACTGCTCTGCGTTAATGTCTTCGGTCATCGATTGTAAAGCTGACTGCCAATCAGAACAGGCCTAGTCCACTGGCTGTGTAGCTAGATTAAGGAAAAACGCATCGCTGAAAGTCTCACCTTCAGTATTGTGATGTTCCACGTGAAGCTCTCCACTGCTTTGTGCAGCTTTCTGCCCTTCAGCCCTTCCTTCACTGCCAAGTCGTGGAGGTTCTCGTGAAATTCCATCGCTGAGAGACAGAGAGAGAGAGACGGGGAGACAAGAAAGAGAGTCAAGTTGGTCTTTATGGTTGCAATTCATAGTGGCTTGTGAAACAGAAGAGCAGCTGCTAGGAGACTGGAGTCTGGAATCTGTGCCTGGGTGCTAGGCTTGTTGTCACTGCGAGGAAACACATGAGAGCAAAGACCCTGGCATGTACTGTCAACATTTCACATTCTCCTGCAGCAGAAGGGTTGAGAGTACTGAGACTGTGTGGCTGTGGGGAAGCTCTCTTCTCTCCTTATTGTACGTCCACAGAGCGATAATGGAGCTCAGTAGCTGCTGCTGCAGGTGTACCGCCTGTCAGGTAGGAAAAAGTAGACACCAGGTGCAATTTCTGAACAGACAACCTGAGAATAAAAAAGGTAAAGAAGTAAAACTGCTATAAAAATCAGAGGCCTCTCTTGGTGAGGATCCATTTTACTGTGTTTGTTTTTGGTGTTAACGCTGACAAGGTGTGAAGATTTTTACTTTCACTGTTCCTCAAGTCCCCAATAACTAGTTAGGTTTCCAGCTTCAAGCGAGTAAGAATTCCTCACAGGTACTGACTAACCAGGAGTCCAGCTTAAATGCAGGCAGCTTGTTTTTCCTGAAGGGGGTGGGAGCAGCTCACTGGTTTTCAGAGCTGGTGTAGAAGAGCCTGGTGGCTACACAGTCGTGGTGAAATTAACCACCTTTGCAGTATTTTAAGATGAAAGATATACTGTGAGGACTTTGATTAATGTGCTTAAATATGGGACCTTCACCAGATTTGACTGAACATTTGTCTCTGGCCACTATAGCACAAACAGCAAGGTTTGGTCCAGAATAGGGCTGAACAATAATTTTCTACAACCAACTTTTGTTTAATTTTCACTTCATGTGTGACAGCTTTACCACAGAAGACACCGTCAAAAGCGTTTGAATGTCACACAAGGAGGATCCTGTGAATGTGTAAAACCACTGATACGACAGCTTAGACACCGGGTCAGACACACTGCATCATGTACAGTTATGGAAATAACTGGTAGACCAGCGTTTGTGTTTCTTTACAAAGTCTACACAACAGGCCTTCAACACTGAATTATATCATAGAGGTTAAATGGTAAATGGACTGCACTTATAGAGTGCTTTTCTATCTTAGAAGCACTCAAAGCGCTTTACAATGTGTTTCTCATTCACCCATTCATACACCAATGGCCACAGAGCTGCCATTGGAGCAACTTCAGGTTCACTGTCTTGCCCAAGGACACTGGATTGAAGCGGCAACCTTATGATCAGAGGACAACCGCTCTATCACCTGAGCCACAGCCGCCACTGATAATTAGATAAAAGATAAAAAGATCCAGATAATTAGATAATGTGCATGCAGCTAATATGTAAAAACACGTTGTATTAAAACTGTAAAAACCTCTAAATACCTCATCAAACGAGACGACCAGAAACAGCTTTTGAATCACTAGCATTTTGTGCATAAGCTGTAACCAAACTAAATAATAATAAACAGCTATCCATTAGAACTGAGTAAAGAAGCCGGCTGTGGCTCAGATGGTAGAGCGGGTTGCCCTCTAAAAGCAAGGTTGGTGGTTCAATCCGTCGGCCCTCAGTCAAAGCGTCACTGGACCCTGAACCTGAAGTTGCTCCCGATGGCAGCTCCGCCACCACTGGTGTATGAATGTGTGTGAACGGGTGAATGAGAAACACATTGTAAAGCGCGTTGGATAAAAGCTCTGTATAAGTGCAGACCATTTACCAAAACGCAGTCCGGTGGTCACAGTGGTCCAACAATCGTTTTCAAAGCTGTACATCCTAAAGTGCAGCCGTTGTTGTTTCCACTGTTTCAGATTGTGATTTAAAACAGATCCATGTTTCAGTCATATTCCTGAATCAGGAACAACCACGAAGGCGGCTGTGAGTATTCTGGCTGCTGTTTATTTGTCCGTACGAGATGCAGTCACAGAAGCCTCTGGCGCTCTAGTTTATGGTAGTCAAGGGAATGTGACCAGAATGATTTCTCTTCTTCATCTCTTCATTGATTATTTGATAGCTTACAATTCAAGATACAGTACACCCTGGTTCTCTGAGGGATCCTTTGTGCTTTTACAATCCACAAAATGTGGCATTCATTTTCATTGTGTTGTCCCTGTCAGCTGGGAGTTGTTTGTCGAGTATGTGCACTTTCCTTCAGCGTCATTAATTTGAAATCTATATCCTGCAGTAAAACATTAGTCGGTGGGGGATAAACCAGAGTGGCACATCCCTGCAAGGTGCTGATGGGATGTCGAGGGACACGAGTGCACAGAAACTGGTGAACTGGTTAAAGGTAAGATAAACAAAGGGAGGAGAACTAAAAGCAGAGCTGAAGGAAGCAGGGTGAGAGGGAAAAAGAGCCCCGCGAACACAGAAAGGCAGAGTAGAAAGGCAGCGTAGGCAGACAGACATGACGCTCCTTCACTGTGGATTAGCATCAAGGCATCGCACACAGGAGGGATTTGTCTCTCGAGGAGCTTTCCTACCACTTCTCTTCCCTCCCCTTTCTTTTTTCTCTTTGCATGACTGAGTCTGAGTAAGGACATGTTTAATGTGGAGTTTGCTTTAGTCTGGCACTGACACTGCAGCAACAGGCAACCCCAGCCCGAGGTTCACGAACCGCAGGGAGATGAAGCAGAGTTCCGACTACGCACAAAGCCCATGAATGCGTAACACACTCCGCATTGGAAACTCCTTCCGAGAGCACACACATTTCCGCTTGAAGCTCTGATATAAGCTGGAGCCAGTCGAAGCCCCTGTCAGTGCTGTTGCCATGGAAACATGGTGTGCACGCGAGCGAGCAAGAGAGAGAGAGAGAGAGAGACCCCTTGGAGTAAAATCGCCATAATAGGTGTGGGGTTGGTTTTTGTTAGAGACTCTCAACTGAGGAAACAGGTCTGTCATCAGACCTCAGGCATCAATACAACCTCAAACCAGTGGCAGAATTTACTGACAGCTCTGACTCGTTCATCATCTTTGAACCCAGCGTCCCTCACTGCTCCTGAATCCCACATGCACTTCAGTTACCAGTTCTTGTTCTAACTGCATGTGAAATTATGTCTCTTTTCATTTTTAGGTCACTATTCTAGCGACAGAGCTGCTGCTGCTGCTGCTGCTGCTGCTGCACGTGAACCATGACTGTGCTGAAGAAGGTGCACAGCTTCCTTCTCATGCACACACTCAAACACACATTTAACTCACACTGGCCGTTGCCTAGCAACGTTTCATCGAGTCTGGCAGGCAAGAAAGGGGGACGCTCATTCTTAGCAAACCATTTCATACTCTGATATCTGTGAGGTAATGCTGCAAGACAGCCACAGTACAGTAAAGGCTGGTTGTCGCCTCCCTCTGTGAGACAAGTACAGTCTGCAGCGGCAGATCAGACCGTGGCCTGAATTCTTCATTAGACGGCTTGTACTTTGAACAGAAGAGCCACTACCTTAGACGGTATATAAGACATGTATGTAAGCTTTGGATCTAAAAAGTAATGCCAATGCATATGTGCTTTAAACCTGCATTCTTTCTAACGGCCAGCAGGGGGCGACTCCTCTGATTGTACAAACATCTCCCCTCACTGGATTTAATACTTCAATCAACATTTCCTAATCTGTAGTTTCAAATCTCCTTCAACACAGCATGATATTAATTTAGTAAATGATGGTCTCATTTGGAGTCAAATAAATGGGCTGGGCTGCCTTGGCACTGACGAGTCCTTCGCTCGTCTCATCTGGTGTCAACAGGCCAAGACGGTGACGGTCAAACAGCAGAACTAGAGGCTTCATCCATCTTCTATATACAGTCTATACTGCTGCCACAGGCTACTAGTAGAGCCTCTGAACAGACCCAACGCTGAGGGAAAACTACAAACCATACTTAATGATTAATAACTTGAGCTGCCATTAGCAATTATGCTAATGAAGCCACAAAAAATATTCCCCTGCAGGACCTTGAAGCAGGCACAAGGTGGTAAAAATGACATTGTGATTTAAAATTGTAGAGAGGAAAACACTGAGTGCTTGAGTTTAACCAATCAGCACTGAGTTTGTTCAGGGCTGTTCAGAGGTGCCTGTCTGGGCTTCTCCAAGTTCCTGTATGGGAAAGGACCGGCTTGCTTTATCCAACCAGCAGTCAAACAATTTAAATTTATTATCATAGATGACATATAAATAAGAATAAGAATAAATCAATCAATCTTGTCAGTGTCTTAGGGGTATATTTACTGGTGTCGTAGATTTATCTCATGAGGTATCTGGATTCTTGTGAGGTCATGTGAGAACCTGGCTTCCTGCTACACGTTTCAGACCAGTTAGCGCCCTCATAATATATACTGCTGTGCTTCTTCTTCAGTGCTCTCCTGTCAGATGTTCATCAGCAGCTGACAGCAGCAGCTCAGTGAATGAACCGTGATTTTAGGTATTTTTTGAAGGTGCCTCCCTCTTTCCAAGTTTCTAAGAACACGGTTTAAAGATAATTCTGTGTAATTCGGTGCATCAGATTCATACGTCTACGGGCAAAACGATTTGTCATGTTGGTTACGATTAATTTTCTCACCAACACGGCGAACAGATGGTTACAGGTGAATATTTTGGTCATACGGTCGGACTAAACTGACATCAGCTTTTGCTCCACAATGTGAGGATTTCACTCTTCTAAACACACCAACAAACTGGACGACTAAACATCACATTTATCGATTATGAGAACGATTAATCGCAGCCCTAAAGTAGATAATTTAATGAAGTATAGAATTTTACTGCCCCCCAAACCCAACAGACAACGGTCCTGTTAAACGGTTTGATTTTGTGGAGTCCATATTAAAAGGTATTTTAACATGAAATACAAAGTCTGGCTCTTTGGTTTGTATTCTGCTGAATGTCAGTGCAGCTCTGCTCCACGCAGGACGCCGCAATTTTGCACTTGGCATTTAAAAGCATCTCGTGTGCTGATCCTGTTAGTCTGCAGCAGGTTCAGCCATCCAGCTGCCCTGAATGCTAATTAGAACCAAAGTGAGTGTCAGGTGAGGGAAGAGTCAGCCCGACCGGAGCTACCAACACCTGACTGTGTTCTCCGACACTCCCCTCGTGTAGATTTTTTTATTTTTTATTTTTTCCTGGGAGGAAAGCGGGCCCTGTCTGAGCTGATGTGATGGATTATTCACAACTTTAATAGCTGTTGCTGCTGAAATGTTCCGCTCTCTGTACAGGGGGAATTGGGTTTGTACTGACCCACTTTCTACACAACAGCCGCACTAAACCACACTGACACACAAACGCGTACGTCAGCACACCTACATGCAGACAGACAGTCAGACGCATGCACGCCGCTGGGATGAAATCACGTCAGTTCAAGATGGAAAATAAATCAACGTTCAAGTCCATCAGTTTGCCATCTGTCGTCCTAGTTTGCATTGTTGGCTGTTGAATTCCATCCAGCTGATTTTAGATAATCATATGAAGGTGCTACGAGACCAAAAGACCCACAAGGCTCCTGTGGAAGCTTTGAAAAAACGCCTGACTTTCCACTCCTGGGCTGTTCCTTTATCTATTGTTTCACTCTGACAAGGCGATTATTAATCAGAGCAACAAGTCCGTTCACAGCGCCAACGACTGCTATACCACATGATGTTGTGTTTCCAAGCACGCAATTCATTAGAAAGAGCTGCAAAGAATTTTACTCACCAGAACTGAAATACTTTCATTTATATCAAAACAGTGACCTACAGAGGTCACATGGGAGATGTGCATCAGGTTGGCAATGTGCACCTGCACGACTACAAAACAATAGATTTCCAATCAAAACACTGCCCTGACATACGCCCAGTCTCATTATTCAGTCGCCAGTGGTTTTACAATTTCAGGAAATTCTCCATGAGTGCTTTTGATCTCATGCTAATACTTCACCACGTTGTACTGATCTGTATTCACGAACCTGAGCCCAATTTATTATTATTTGTCCATTATCGCATGTTTTAAAACTGAATAATGTCCCCAATATGAGGAATATCCAACAACTATTCATGCATTAGTAGCACATATTCAGCACAGTGACCGCTTTATGTGCCACTGGGCTACAGGGACACTGTGCTATTAATCCCAAAAAAGCTCAAACGACAACACAAGTGTTGTGTTTGCCATCCAACGCAGTGAGGAGTGCACAGATCTGTTTATAGGAGACTCATCCACCGCTTCACAAACACATGGCGCAGAAGAGTCAGCTGTTCAGGACAACACTCAGCAGTCCACCTGCATCGGCACCTGCAAGGAGAGAGGCGAGCCACGTACACCCATCAGTCACAACCGCTCAAGTGCATGACACTGATCATCTCTTTACCATTCAGCTGGAACACGTTGGGTTTTGGGCCGCCTGCCCCAGCAGAACCACGTGCCCTGCCACACTACAAACACTGGAACAGGCCAAATCCACGGAGGCCCAGACCCCATAAGCCACCGGGCCCAAAAGATCTGTCAGTGTCTCAGTGCCGACACCACAGGATACCCCCAGAGGTCCCGCCTCCGTGTCTTGATGGGTTAGCGCTGTTTTGACAACATGAGGGGAACCTATACAATATTAAACAGGTGGTTTTACTCCTGTGGCTGATTTGTGTATCTCTATATAGGGGAAGCAGGAGGCCTACAGCAGCATCTATCAGCCACGGGAACCCTCACCATCAGTCAGACCTTGAATCATGGGCGTTCTGGGTGAGTAACAACCCATAGGTGTCCTTGAATAAACACCTGAATCTCCCACAAGTCAGTAGGAACTGAGGAAGCCTCTGGGAGGAGAGAAGACATGTTTTTTTTAAGTTCAGCACGACCTGAATGAGAATCTAAACAGGCGAAAGCAGAACAAGGAAGACGCTGACAAAGGGATGAAGATGAAAGGGTGTCACTAAAGAACGCAGACGACTCATTAACTTAAGAGAGTGGCCGTTTTAAATTGTGCACGCGACGGTCGCGTCCGGATCAAACCGAAAAATGACCCAAAACAAAAGCTTCACAGACGGGAACACGGGCTTCCTTCTGATGTCGGGAAGTTCGAGCACGTCTTGATCCTAAAGCCACGGACTGATAACCGCGAGAGGCTGGAAGGTGGCAGAGCTGAAAGCACCGAAGCAAAAACGCAGCACGAAGCCTTTGATTCACGCTGGTTAAAAAGACACAGTCGTCGTCCTCTCTGATGTGCCAAGACAATAGACAATGAATATTTTATAAGTCATCCATCTGGAAACCAATAAAGCTGAGCTGTGGTAATGATGGTCCATCTTTGCTCCCTTCCACTCTCGCTAAGCGCTTCCAGCAGGCTTACTCGCTGATAAATTTGGCTTCTATGCTACTTAGATAGAATTCATTGCCAGAAAGCGCCGCATTATAAATCACATTACAGTGAAAATTAACAGGTTTTATCCATATTTCTGGTACATCGCAACAGTTGTTTGATGAAATAAGAAGTGCCCTAGAATACAGACCGATCTCTGAGATCAGGAACGCCGACTACAGAAAGACAACCGTCCATTCTTTGACATGTACAGACACATTTCGCCTCCTGAGTTAATTTATGTACGTTTACTGATGAGAAGTATGAGTAAGTCCAGCACCGGGTTGGGTACATGCGGGGCACCAAACCCTAACCCACAAAGAACAGGTGAAAAGTGTGTCTATATAGGTTTACAGGTGCAGGTAAAAATGAAGTGGATGCAGGAGAGCAATCTGTGTCTGTACTTCATTTGCAGATATCAGAGCAGACTTTGATTGTGCACTGCAGTATTTTCAACATCTGAATCGGCTGTCCAGACAAATCAGCTGCCAGGATATTTCTTCTTTCATTTTTTTTCTTTTTTTACGTGCAACTGTGGCCGTCGAGTTGATAAACTCTGCAGTCTGGTTTAGCTAGCTACCTAAAACTCATGCTAATGCTAAACTGGGACTTTCAACACAGTGTGTGACACTAGAGAACTGCTAACACTGCTAATGTCAGCAGGACTCTGATTACATGCTTCCACCAACATTAAACTCAGGTAATGAAGTGTTTTGGCAGCGCTCTCATATATAATAACGGTCTGAGTTCATGTTAATATATGTTAAGAATAAAATAAAGCACTTGAAATTACATGGCTGTGTCGTCTGTGTGTTAAATCATGGCTCAGGTCGTGTATTAACGGGTCTGGTTGGGTCCAGATTTGACTTGGAGATAACTGCGGGTCAGTTCTGGTACTGAGCTTTGCAGGTGCAGGTTTGCTAAACTAAAGCCGTGTAGGTGTAATTGGACTGCGATCTGTTAGCTTTGATGTTGTCTTGCTGCAGGTCACTCGTCTCTAACTCTCAAACCGTGAATTAGAATACGGCACAAAAGCGGTTACCGGCGTGAATTAAACGCCTCTCATTGAACTGCAGCTTTTCAAAGGGAAACAGTGTCTGGATCACATAAATGAACATGAATCAAATGATAATTTCCCTTATGCAAATCAGCAAAGTCTGATTCATTTCACATTGAGCGACCTGCGCTTTGTGGCTTCAGAGAGCTGGCAGGGCCACAGGCAAACATCAGGCGCTCGCTAATGGTGTCAGGAAACAAAGCCTTCTATGGTTGTCCTCCATCTGACCACCTCTTACCTGCTTTCTGGGTTTGTAGAATCCTCTCATACACCCCCTCACAGTTCTCCAGCAGTGTCTTGCTGGTCTGGATCACCTGAAAGGAGACAAACGGATTTGTTCATATTTGCCTTCATTTTCCACATCAGCAGAACGGGCCTCCCACAATAAAGCAGGAAGCCGTCTCCGTCTGGTGGCCGGGCGTTTTATCCAGGGAGAGCTCAGAAACAAGTTATTACAGGGACGTCAGTGGGCGAGGCCGCTGAGTTGCATTTCTGAAAGCCAAAATTAGAGGGAGGGAGACACAAGCAATTAGGTTGTTTATTAAAAGTTTTTTTTTTTTTTTTCTTCAAACAGTGACAGTGGCTTGATTCAAGGAGAAAAATATCATAAATGTCCTCCTTCTGCTTGGCTTTGGAAGCATCGCTTTAAGACAAACTGCTGACATTACAGGTCATTGTGATTAAAACGTAAACATGTGAGTCACTGTGAGGCGGCCATCACGGTGTTATCTGTGAAACTGCAGCTGTGACAGATGCTAAGTTTAGCTCCTCTGCTGTTATCCTTCGCTCTAATTGAGTGCACAAACTCTGCTGACCGGCAGACTGTTAAAACGCTCATGGTGAACCATTTACATATTAAATGCCGGCACCTCTTCCTCCTCACGCCAACCTCCAAAAACCGTTTCCTTCCTCAATAGAGACAGCAGAGTTGTTCAGGAGGTTAATGTGCATATGTAGGCTGTCACAGACAGAGGTAAATAAGCATCGAGTGCCTGACAGACCATCTGGATCTTTCTCTACAATTATCTTAGTAGCTTAATTGTTTCATGGTGGGTGATGGAGATGATATTTATATCCAAATGTTGCTCTGCTTCTCAGTTCAATTAGTGCCTGTAGGGTGCTGGGTGCTCTGCGTAAGCAGCACTGCTGTAACCGACGTGTACATTTACTTGTATACGGTCGTGTCACAAAGCTGGTTGCCCCGCTCAGCTGCCAACGTGGAAAGCAAGCAAAGAAAAACACCTTTTTCATCCGAGATCAGTCAAACAACGCCACTGTTGCCCCAAGATCAATCCCAGGAGCTCGCCAGGGTGCTCAGCAGAACGCCAGCGAGAGAACAGGGAGGGGTGCACACGAAGGGAAAATGTGAACGATGGAAACTTCTGTCAGGACACACATAACTTGTGTATCCAACGCAGGTTCTTATTAACTGCCTCTGACGGTATCAGATTTATTGAAGGATAAATCTGGAAATACTCCTGGAAATAAAACTGGGAATTCTCACTAAATCACCGAATGTGTATTAGACTGAAAACCATCCGCAACCAACACGCTGTTTACTCCTTTCTGAGGAACGTTTACCTCTACAGTGCTTTAGGACTTCTTTACTCCTTAGAGCCTGCACACCTCCTTCTCTTCTTCCTTTTCCAACAATGCTAGTTACGTTTCTATGTGACCGAGTGTTGGCCAGAACGTTTGCCACCTCGGCAAGTCGGCGACCACATGTGAAAACTTGAGGGAGCAAAAAAATGAAATTTATTTCCGTTAGGCACTAAGCTCATATTGCTTCTTTTTCCTTGCGAATATAAAGGCTAATATCAAACAATCTGGAAGTATTGTAATATTAAATAATAATAGAACTGGACAGCCTAGACCATACAGTATATAGCATGCATGGCTAACAGCATGAACTGGCCTGAGGACAAAAGCTTAGAAGTACAGGTAGTGAAATTACGCCTAAAATAGGGTCATGGGGACAAATAAAATAAATAAATAATAATAAAAAACAACATTAAATATCTGTTGCTATCGTTTTGGGCCTTGGAACAGATTTTCTGACAAAACAAAAATATAGAATAACCCATGTTTCAGAGCATGTTGGTGGGAGTTCATTAGCAGCTCAGGTTGTGACTACAGATGGTCTCCAGTGAAGCTTTCACTCATCTTGTTCATGTACTTTAATCTCAAAACCCACCAGTGGCTTTGAACGGCAGGTTTCACAAGAATAAATAAATAAAATAATCCACCAAATAGTCCCATTGAACAGGGCCAGAGGTTGGCTTGTTTTAACTCTCCAGTGGTCACTGAACTGATCGTGTGCATCAGGACCAAGTCTAACCTCAAAATCGTGATATTACATCAAAATAACTTTCATTTGAATTCATCTTTTTATATAGAGTTCTTTTTCTGTTTGTTTTCTAAAACATGTATTTCTTTTATATTGTATATCGTGTTTTACAAAGTTTTATGTTTTGCTTTTTGCACTGAAGCGACTGCACCTTACTTTTCGTTGGGGTTCAGAGGATCAGGAAGCTTTGTCAGAATATAGCGTGATTGCATAGAGCACACAGACAGATAATGTGCACTGTACGGGTGACAGACACGAAGCCCTCCAACTGAATCACTGCGTTATTCTACCAGCAGTCATGACTAAGTGGTCGACGCCGATTGTGTCACGCTGCAGCTGCACTTGCAGCACTTAGAGCTGTCTCACATGCTGTGATTATTCCTCTGATGGGTGAAGAAATTACCGTCCTGGTGGCAGACGCAGCATCTCTAATGTATTTAAAGGCATATTTTAAGGTATGTGGGTGGACTGTGTCCTATACGTACAGTAAAGCCTGCCTCCTCGAGCTGGTATGGTTACTTCTATTATTACCCCTATTGAACTAAGACACAAGTGCTGCTGTAGTTTTTAAGGTGGTATTTGTGTAGTGAAGCAGTTCTGCATGTAAAATAAATAAATAAAGGGGAATGCATTTTAAACATATCTTCACTATGAATTCAAACAGAAGTATGCAGTTCATTAGTGCATAGAACTGGCATAGATCACACATAAGTCCTGCCAAATGAAGACATAACCAACATAAAGGCTTTCAGTTCCCCTCAGTTCAGCGATTCACAGGTTCTGTGTTCTCTCCGTCTACAGGCTGTGCCATTAGTTAATCTGTTGTGGGCAAAAACAGAAATCAGATCATATTATCTACAACCACAAGCTGGCATCCTACCGAGTCTCTCCACCTTTTTTTTCCCTCCCAGCACACAAATGGGCAGGGATTGAGACCCAGATTCTATTTTTGCCAATTAGAAGGCGAAGGCCCGGCTACTCCCTGTGGTGGGTTCTGACACAGTGCCTGAATTTCTAATTGTACTCTTCCGTACATTATTTGCCATTCTTCAACATTCCTCGCTTCGTTCGCGTCTCTGTCAGCTCTGCACCTTCCTGCTCCCCATCTTAGCTGCTGCTGTGCTGATGATCAAGGCCTGCAGCTTCACACCACTTAAGCCCTTGCTCTTAATTTATTCCATGTTGGTCCCCAAACACCCGTCATTTTCTCCTTTCTTCCCCTCCAACTCAATTTTCCTGACGCTCACTCCATCAGGGCCAATTACCTAGCCCTCCAATCTCAAGTCTGAATATAGCAGAAAGGTCACCTTAATCGGTCTGCATCTGAGCCTTCTGCGCCTTTATGTTTTATGTAGAATGTTTTTATCTAATGTCTGTGCTGTTAAGTGCCTCGGGTACCTTGAAAGGTGCTTTGATAAACTATTATAAAAATTATTATTCTTATCCCCTTTTTCAGATCTTTGAGACTCGAGGAAAAATACCTGGAGTACCGATCTTACTGCTGTCCCCGTTTTCAGACGGTTTCTGCACAATAAATTCAATTACTTGTTAATCTTCTATCAAATAATTTACACGTGTGATACAGGTGTGAAAACATTTTACTTGATAATGCCAACACCATACGGCCAAACATGCTCACCCCGATGCATGATGCAGAGGCTCAAACACTGATGCTCAACAGTGAACAGAAATCTGACGCTTTATGAAATGTTCTGGAGGTTGTGGTTCACTTCTTGTTGTTTTTGCAGGGGGCTTGTGTTTCTTGCCTGATATAATGGTGGAGAGCTGACTTGCTCATGATGTGCCAAGAATCAATGTTAAGAGAACATGATGTGTTAAGGGTAATGGTGTTGTCTGGGAATAGCCTAAATGGCATGTTGCATAACTTGTGAACATTGATTTTATTACTTAACAGAGCTCCAGCCCTGTTACCCAACCATCTCTGTATGTCCCCATTAAGTCAAGCAAAGCCAGGGTATTGATCTGATCCCAGTCAAAGCTAGCTTGCCTGGTTAGATCTTGTTTTTCCTATTGATATCCAAATGCATACATGGACTGACATATAGCGTTGCTGCCAAACCCCCCTCAACCTAAAGCTCTAATGTCACGAATGTAGGCATTTCTGTGCACTGCTACCTGGTCAAGAACCGTGCATAATGGATAAGACTGTAAAATAAACACACATCTGAACATCAGCAGAGATGAAACCATGTCATCTAGTTTCTCTTTGAAGTTGTGGACCTGAATGTAAAATTCTCTTTTTGTATTTTACCTGCAAACGTAAGTAATTTGTGTGTCTTCCTCTGGTTTTCAATTATGGTAAATTAAGTGATTTGTGAGGTTTGACATGCAAAAAACAATTCATCCAAACAACTATGACTAATAACAGGGCGGCTGTGGCTCAGGTGGTAGAGCTCAGGTTGGGGGTTCGATGCCCTCCACAGTCCTTGGGCAAGACACTGAACCCGTAGTAGCTCCCAATGGCAGGCAGCACCTTGCATCTGGCACCACTGGCGTATGGATGTGTGTGTGAATGGGTGAATGAGAAACACACTGTAATATACGTGCAGACCATTTACCAAACAGCTACTCACCATGTCATAGGTGGTGACGACCTTTTTGAGGACCTCTGGTAGCAGGCCTTGGGGCTCCAGGTTAGGGTACTGGTCAGTGAGGTTGAACACCAGAAGGGGGCTGTTGTCAGGCCCCGTCAGTCGAGGGGAAAGGGCCAAGATGCACTGCTTCAGGTTAGCCACTGCTGAAAGGCCGCACAGCTCTTTAAAGGACACTATGGCATTCTGCAGAGAGAGGAGGGAAATTACAGCTGGACTCACATGCAGCTGGTTCGTACCGGCATGCCAACCAAAACATATGTCAAATGGCAAAACCATTAGAAAATGTCTGAAAGTGGAGTAACTTAATATTCCAGCCTGTTAAAACCTGGCATCGATCTGCCTTCAACATGCAACCACAGCCGCATAGAGGAGCGCTCTCTCAGAGGAAGTGGCTGGAAGCTCACTCATTACCTGTGAGAACTTTCATTTTGGCACTTGTAAGCCACTCATAAACACTCAGTCCTTTTTGGACTGACACCAGCATCGCATGGAAATGAAACAAACACACACACACACACACACACACACACACCACACCACACAAATCCTAACCTTCCTGTGAAAGGCCAAATTTAAACCCTACATAAACAACCGGAGGGACAAACAGCGACAGGACGGCCAAGACATGCTGTAGTCTCAAGGCCAGCAGCTTGTTATCACACAATGACTGCAATATAAACAGCCCTACCAAAATAAAACCTCATACAATGCCTAAAGAAACACAACATGAGACCAACCACAGAGTGTGGTGACACTCCAGTGCAGCACTTCTCTTTCATTTCTCTATATTTCTTTACATCTGGAGCTGCCACTAATGACCTGGATGACTTTTCTACTCATGAATCATTAACTATTTTACAAATTAGTCAATCAATCAATTAATTTCCCTCAAATAACACAAAATGATGTCATTTAAATATTTTAGTTTGACAAACCGAGTGTCTGTGATGCAGCAAAATGTAAACAAAGGTTTAAATATTAAACCACAGAACTCTTGAACCGGCAGCTCCAACATGATAAAAAATAAATAAAATGTAGATCAGCAGTGAAAGTCCAAATGAAATCCAAGTTTCTATTAAAAACCTTAAAGTGAAAAAATGTGATTTTAAAGTGTGTTTTAAACAGGGAGGATATTTTAGAAGCACAGACCAGCAAAGGAACTCCTTTTCTCTTAATGTGCAGTTTCTGACTTCTGTATTATCTTTGAACTCCATGAAAACACAGCTGAGTTACCATCTAACAGCACAGAGGC